TAGTTAACCAGCTCAGATGTTAATGATGTGCCATTAACAGTGTCTTATAATTGGGAAAAAAAACTTTTATTTCAAGTACTTTGATTATATTGTTGAAGTAAATTGTATTGCGATTTTGCTACAATAAATCATAATTTCGTAAATTCTTTTGTTATGGCATTGATCAGAATAGCCCCGTCAAGACCTTTCAACTGAAATGCAAAGTTCTTCAAATTCTTCATATCTTAATATAAGAGCTATGAAATTAGGAACTTTGGATATAGTATATTAAGACTAGAGGAATTTGTAAGCAATGAGCTCACTAAATGATCCCCCGCCTCCCATATGGTTATAATGGCAAATTCCATGTTTTGCTGTGGCCGGGAAAACCCTAAATATATATGCGTCCGAGCAAAACGTCCTAACAAATTACGGAAAGCTACAACAACCACCCCAAGAACTACCCCCATATATACTTAACTTGATTTTAATAGTACACCCAAGCCAAAATATCACCTATATACAGCGCTATACAATGTTGGATTTAGAGGGGATCCAGAGGACCCGGGCCCCCTTTTTGCGTCCAAAAAAAATACACAATAGATAAATCAATGTTTTTTTTGTGCTACTGTGGACTCCTACTCTGACCTAAAACTGGTCGGGCCCCCCGTTTTCAAAATTTCCGGATCCGCCACTGCTATGTGTACAGCATGTAATCAGCAAAATAATACCTCTTTCCTTAATACCCCGAACAAAAACACTATAGTGAAAGAAGTCAACGTAAACTTTAAAACGCCAATAAAATGTACGCAAGGATCTTCAATATTTGAAGATGGAAGTAGATAGAAAAAGAATTTTCCAACGACTGACACAATGAAAGCGTATTGAACACTTGTATATATCACGTGAAAAAAATGATTATAATATTAAAGGGGTCACATGGGCTGACACTCGGTGACCTGCTAATTTAGCAGCTAACTCGAGCGAATTTTGGGTAATTTTTTTTTAAAATTAGATATGAGCCGCAACTTTGCCAACATTGTATTTTGGACATGTGTAAGTTTAAGTTAAAATACACATTCTGTGCAAATGAGAAAAATGGCCAAGTTGCGGCTCGATGTAAACAATGTCGTTGAAAACTGGTATGCATATGAATAACAATAGAAATGAGACAAAACTGTTAGACCCCCGTCTCAAAAGCTAGTGTCGCTCGGCATTATTTAATACTTTCATGCAATATTACGGTGGTATATTAAGAACACGCAATTATTATTTTTTTAAATACCAGAAAAAATTATCTTGTGAAAACGACATAATTATCTTGTGAAAACGAGAAAATATCTCGTGAAAACGAGATATTATCTTGTGAAAACGAGATAATATCTTGTGAAAACGAGATATCTTGTGAAAACGAGATACTATCTTGTGAAAACGAGATATTATCTTGTGAAAACGAGATATTATCTTGTGAAAACGAGATAATATCTTGTGAAAACGACTTATCTTGTGAAAATGAGATAATATCTTGTGAAAACGACTTATTATCTTGTGAAAACGAGAAATTATCTTGTGAAAACGACATAATATAATATGTCGTTTTCACAAGATAATATCTCGTTTTCACAAGATAATATGTCGTTTTCACAAGATAATAAGTCGTTTTCACAAGATAATATCTCGTTTTCACAAGATAATATCTCGTTTTAACAAGATATTATCTCGTTTTTACACGATAATATCTCGTTTTCACAAGATAATATCTCGTTTTCACAAGATAATATCTCGTTTTAACAAGATAATATCTCGTTTTCACAAGATAATTATGTCGTTTTCACAAGATATTATGTCGTTTTCACAAGATATTATGTCGTTTTCACAAGATAATATCTCGTTTTCACAAATAATATCTCGTTTTCACAAGATAATATCTCGTTTTCACAAGATAATAAGTCGTTTTCAGATAAAATCTCGTTTTCACAAGATAATTATGTCGTTTTCACAAGATAATTTTTTTCTGGTATTAGAAAAAAAAATAATTGCGTGTCCTAAATATACCACCGTACAATATAATATACCAAAACCTGCTCTTAAGATATTGATTAATACCTATAAAACATAAATTTAATGATTTTTGGAATTTTATTTTGCGCAAAACACCCGGATCCAACTCTCATAGCTTAAACTTATTAATATAATTTTCAGTCATATATGCTAAAGTGGAAACATAAATTACATCATCAGCTCACTTTTAGTTTTTCTTCTTAATTTACCTTTTTATATACCTTTCTATTAAATATACACAATAATATATTTATAATTTTCAATGTTATGTAGCTAATATTTACTTGTACATGTTTGACCTTGATCTTTGCATCATAGAGATGACTTATATAGGCAGTGCCTGCTGTCCAATCCTGTTATACTTACACAAACTAAAATATTGTTAATATTAAAAATCACTAGTTCTGTTATATATATTCTCATGTAAAACTTTATCATCAATTGGAGCCCCATCCTATTCTCTAAGGTCATGATTTCAACTTGAACCTACACTATCTGAAAATGATTCTTTAAAACATGCCTAATAATGACTTTACTGCTTTTTTGGGGAAAAAATAAAGATAGACTTTTTCCCTATCTAATTTGTGTAAACTTTCATAGCCATTGAAACCTCACCCCATCTTCTAAACGTATGATTTCATCAGCTTTGAATTACAATATTTGAAGATGCTTCTTTGTAAATATCATTAATTTTGGAAGAAGCACCCTTTTTGCTCATTATAACCATTCACATAGTTTGTCTGATAAATATGGAAAGGGAGAGAAGGTGATTTTTAAAGAATTTATGCATTTTCACTTAATGCTCATTCAAGCTTTGCCCTAACTCCTAAATCCCTGACTCTGCATGTTGGAGCAATGAATTCCAAAATTTTAACAGAGAGCGCCATGCTTATTACAACCATGGCAACAGTGCAACTGCTTGATGTCAAAAATAAAGAAAAATTTCTAAATTGTTAGCATGTTTTAATGGTTTGAGTCTTACATTTGTTCCCTTTCACTTATAGATATTCCATGCTAAAATTAACTGATATTGGTTCATTGTTCCCAAAAAAGAAGTTAAAAATCATCAATTTCATTAAATGTTTAATCATGACTGTGACAAATATTGCATAAAGATGAACAGAATAGATTACAAAAGACCACCTGAGTGATTAAGGTGACCTTAATATTTTAATTTAGAAGAATGAATAAGAATGTTTTTTGCATATTTTAGGCGCTCAAATCTAAAGCTTGTATCAAAATATGGTTTGAACTACTCTGCAAACATCTTACCATCTACACCTCTATATAATTAAAAGTTAAGGGTCTCAAAACTAAGCTTGAAAATTAAATCTTTTTATGCAACAATTTTCATTTTATACCTCTCAATGTGCTTCTATGCTCTTTAAAGTTTTCAGGAAGGCCTTACAAAAAGTCGAAAGTTTAAGGTGTAATATCCCTTTGATAAGAGAGATAACTTTTTGAAGACATTTCTCCATGAAATTCAGCAAATTGTCAATTCAGATTTTACAAATTTCATTACTACAGACTGTATCATAGTCAACTCAATTAATCTGTTCCATGGCACAGATGTTTATTTCTAGTTTGTCTAGCCAATCTTTTCATTAATTATTTATAACAGTTTACTAAAACATTTATACTCAGTTCCTTTAAGAGATGTAATGTTATTTATAAGTCATTTAATTGTTACAGAAATTTCAGATGCAGAATTGTTTATAAACATTTAATTAATATTTTGTTTCACTTAAAATATTTTCAAGGGTGAAAATGGAAAGATAACTCTTGTTGATGGATGCGTATTATTTTACATGCACAAAAACAATTTGATATTCTGATTTAAAAAGCAATGCTTCAGTATGTATTCTAATGAAAATTAGATAGGTATGAGAGTGAATATTATTTTTTTTTATGTTAACCTCATATTTCTGATTTAATTGTAAGATAAAATATTATCAATCTTTTTTTAACCATATCACATTTTCTTCACATTATGATTTGACATGATATCATTTCTAAAAAAGTAAGAAATGCTTCATACTTTAAGTTATTGTTCATTTGAATCTGATGCTTTTGTTGTTGATGAAAATCATTGTTTGGAATTTTAAAAAGATATCGTGAAATTTGGCACAGAGGGATATTGCCCCTTAAAATTACATATTTAAAAAAATTGAGGTTCATTTTAATCTAACCATAGATACCAATGTTTATTAACATGATATGAAATTAGAAGTGATTAATGGTGTTTTGCAATGACAGGAAAATCTTTATACACTATACATTGTAAAATAATTGAAGTAAACATAAGAAACTAGAGGTACTGTGAGCAATGAGCTCACTAAATGATACCCCCCGCCTCCCATATGAATAAAATTACAGTGTCCATGTTTTGCTCTGGAAAATCCAAAATATATGTCAGATCAAAAAGTAAAATAGGAGGTGCACAATGGCAATATGTAATAAAGATTCTGTGAAAGTTTCATCAAATTTCATTCAGTGGTATGAGAGGAGTTGCGGATAAGAGATGGGTACCCCAAAGCGTAACAGACGGACGGACAGACAGACGGACGGACGGACGGACGGACAGACGTACAGACGGACGGAATTAACGATTACTATATACCCTCCCGCTTTTCAAGCGGGGGGTATAATGAAAGTACCTTACATGTATATGTATAAAACACATGTAATTTCTTCACAAGCCAGAAAACCTATGATTTTTATTTCTAAAATGTGTTTGTTGATCAAATTTGAATTGGAAAATGCATAGTAAGTGTTTTTATTCGTATTTCCTAAAACTTTATTTGAGATTTACTAATTTAAGTAATTTTCCTTATATTATATGATTAACTTTAAAGATGAAGTTTGAAGAATTATCGTGGGTAACACCACGTTACTTTAAGAATTCAGAGACATTTTATGAACATTTTTAATTAGTCAATGTCTGATTTTCAAGTTTTTATTCAATCATATGCACTGCTTCTTATAAGAGACCAGTTCTTAATTAAACTTTGTAGAGCTTTCAAATTATCCCTAAACCACTGATTTCTCTGGAGATTTTCCCATTTTTGGATGAATTTCTGGTAATCTTCTTTACAATGTCCTCTAACATCTAATCTATCAACAGCTTCAAAAAGCACTTTAAATAACCTTGTATATCCATCTATAGATACTTGTTCTGGATTTGCAATTTCTCTAATCAGCGTATGAACTCGATATAATCTCTCAACATCATCTCCAACCCCTGTGTCTCTGTCCTTGACCCCTTGACCCCAACCAGACTTCGGTTGAAGTTCATTTTCAGGAGACAATTGCAATATCGCATACATTACAGGAATAGATTTCTTGTCAATTGAATCAAAACTGACAGATGCTTGATACTCTGCTGGTAACAATTCCTTGACTTTAGATACTTTTGATTCATCCGTTAGGTAACCCTGTGGGTCTGTCACATGGACTTTTAAAACACGATAAAGCATTTTCTTTGCTAGTCTTGTAGACACTTCTACCAGAAACTCGTGTAAATCCTGAGAACCACCTTTCTCTTCATCTACAATGAAAAACTCTAACATTAACAAATAAGATTCATTTTATAATTCGAATAGCAAATATAATAACTTGTTGCCCTAATTGGATTTTTAATGAAACCCTTCCACCATTTCTCATGTGAGTTGCAAATGGTATCAGGATAGGATAATGCTAGGAAGAATCTACATTGTATCTCAAAAAAGCCGACTGATAAATTTAACCAAATTTTATCACTCTGATGTTAAGGAAACATGAGAAATTAGGTTCACAGAATCAGAGCAATACTTGAGAAACAAATAATGTTAATTAACATGATACCAAATTTTCCGTTTAAAAAAGACAGAGAAAAGGGTCATAAAACAATTTGCAGAAATGGAATAATTCAATCAGAATACCGGTAGTAGGAGTATGTGCATAAGAGGGTAAATAGTATTTCATTACAATAGCTACATCTGCTTCGATGTTGTGTTAAGCGTGCTAAAAATCAGTCAACTGATTCAGAAAAGGTACAAATGCTGGTACTTAGAACGTAAATAAACTTAGATCACCGAATCTTACTTGAATCTGTAATGACTGAGCTATTGAGACAGCAATCAATTACTGTATAGTTAAGAAATGGGTCATTCAATAGTTACCACCTTTTTTCTTTATAGAGTCCAGTGTATCATCAAATACTCCTCCGGTGTCTTCTTCACCTGAAGATATTTCCTCTTAAAATAGAAATCACAAAAACTTATCAAACAAAGGAGACTATAATTACATACGTACTCGAAATTTCAAAAAGTTATTACGACCTCAGTCATTTACAGTATCTATATATAATTTATTTTACAACTACTGATCAAAAAGTATGATATGGTTGAAAGAAACAATGTGGAGAAACAGAACTACTTATATAATGTAATTCTTTCCATAAGATTGTGTAAAATTCTCTTTTTTATGTCAACCATGCAATTATGTTTTGGGGGAAATTGGTTTTTTGACTAGTCTGATGAGACTGAAGCTCTACTGGTTTGTAACTTTGAGAGAGAAAAGAGGCACGTTAACTTGAAATTTGGCAACATCAATAAATGGAGTAAAGACCCTTGGTTTAGTCCCTCAGTCCAAAGACATATTGAAGTCAGATTAAAACTGTTGAAGTAGCCATTAGAAAAACAATTTATAAAATATTTTATAATTAGTTAAGTTGGTAACATTATTCATCAAAATCAAACCATAAGTGTATGTCAAGATTGTAGCTATACTGTTTTGTATTTATAAGGAAGAGAAAAATAAGCTAGCAGTTTGACTTAAGACTGCAATAGCAATAAATAAAAAAAAATTATCCTTAGCAATAAATATAAAAATGATCCTTGATTTAGTCTTTTTTCATGGAAAAACTGCAATCAGACTAAAATTGTAAGAGGAATAGAATTTTACAGAAGTTTCTACTTTTAGTTACCTTGGCAACACCGTTAATCAAAATCAAATGCGGAATTATGTATCTCAGTGTAGTGTACTTGATGCCCATAGAACTTACGAAAAGATGACTTTTTAAAACGAGACTGCTGTAAAACAAAACTACGGAAGATTCATTGAAATGAATTTTTATAATTATCAACATATTAAATTTAATAGTCCTTTTTGTGGCAAAAGAACACTAAAACATATTTTCTCTTAAATTATTACTGAAATTGAATATTTCCAACAGTTCTGTATTTTGCCTAATATTGCAAGTAATTGTTATTCAATAATAAATCTTAGAAGAAGCAACAGTTTGGAAACACATTCGCAAAGATACATATGCACATAACTAGATATACACTTTGCGGTCATTCTGGTCTTATCCTGCACAAAGATTTTGCTATTTTGATAAACTGAGCGTAAATGTCTTTTTGACATTAACTAGACATACCTTTCCATTTGTTTTCTATATCCTGTTTCTCCACCTCTTCATTACACTCTAAAAATATATCCTCCTCAGTTAGATAACTTTTAATGTCTACAGGCTGTATATTTCCTTTGCTCTCTACAAAAATAGGACATAGAATGGTTGAATATTAGCAGAAACCTTACCAAACTGTAGGAGTCAGAGATTTTCATGCATATTTTAAGGGAAAAATCCCAATGAAAATGCACATTTGATGACTGACATGATGACAAGTATTGTATCAGGTCCGTTACTAATACTGTTGACAGAAAATCAGTCTCATGAGGTTATTATTACCAAGAAGCATGACATCGAGATAAGAACAAGAGGCCCATGGGCCACATCGCTCACCTGAGCACCAAGGGTAGGACTAGTATAAAATGGCTTTTTATTGTAAAGTTTAAATCCAAAAGTAGTCCCATGACCAATCATGGATTTGCTATTATTTAGAAAATGATTTTTAAAGAATTTTCCTATATATATCTTTTAAAACTTTGGTTGGCCATTTTGGCCCCGCCCTATCCCTGGGGGCCATGATTTGAACAAATTTAAATCTACACTACTTGAGCATGCTTCCATATAAAAATGATGAATTAAGGCTTTGTCATTCTTGAGAAGAAGATTTTTAAAGAATTTTCCTATATATTTCTATGTAAAACTTTGGTCGGCCATTTTGGCCCCGCCCTACCCCCAGGAATCATGATTTGAACAAACTTAAATCTACACTACTTGAGCATGCTTCCATATAAATATGATGAATTATAGCTTTGTCATTCTTGAGAAGAAGATTTTTAAAGAATTTTCCTATATATTTCTATGTAAAACTTTGGTCGGCCATTTTGGCCCCGCCCTACCCCCAGGGGTCATGATTTGAACAAACTTAAATCTACACTACCTGGGCATGCTTCCATATAAATATAATGAATTAAGGCTTTGTCATTCTTGAGAAGAAGATGTTTAAAGAATTTTCCTATATATTTCTATGTAAAACTTTGGTCGGCCATTTTGGCCCCACCCTACCCCCGGGGGTCATGATTTGAACAAACTTGAATCTACACTACCTGAGCATGTTTCCATATAAATATGATGAATTATGGCTTTGTCATTCTTGAGAAGAAGATTTTTAAAGAATTTTCCTATATATTTCTATGTAAAACTTTGGTCGGCCATTTTGGCCCCACCCTACCCCCGGGGGTCATGATTTGAACAAACTTGAATCTACACTACCTGAGCATGTTTCCATATAAATATGATGAATTATGGCTTTGTCATTCTCGGGAAGAAGATGTTTAAAGAATTTTCCTATATATTTCTGCGTAAAACTTTGGTCGGCCATTTTGGCCCCGCCCTACCCCCGGGGGTCATGATTTGAACAAACTTGAATCTACACTACATGAGCATGCTTCCATATAAATATGATGAATGATGGCTTTGTCATTCTTGAGAAGAAGATTTTTAAAGAATTTTCCTATATATTTCTATGTAAAACTTTGGTCGGCCATTTTGGCCCCGCCCTACCCCGGGGAGTCATGATTTGAACAAACTTGAATCTACACTACTTGAGTATGCTCCCATATAAATATGATGAATTATGGCTTTGTCATTCTTGAGAAAAAGATGTTTAAAGAATTTTCCTATATATTTCTATGTAAAACTTTGGTCGGCCATTTTGGCCCCGCCCTACCCCCGGGGGTCATGATTTGAACAAACTTGAATCTACACTACCTGAGGATGTTTCCCCATAAGTTTCATCTTTCCTGGCACAGTGGTTCTTGAGAAGAAGATTTTTAAAATATACCACTAAATTTTCATTAATTCCCAATTATCTCCCCTTGAATAAGGGCGTGGCCCTTCATTTGAACAAACTTGAATCCCCTTCATCCAAGGATGCTTTGTGGCAAGTTTGGTTGAAATTGGCCCAGCGGTTCTTGAGAAGAAGTCGAAAATGTGAAAAGTTTACAGACAGACAGACAGACAGACAGACAGACAGACGGACAGACGGACGCCGGACAAAATGTGATCAGAAAAGCTCACTTAAGCCTTCGGCTCAGGTGAGCTAAAAATATGGAAAAGTTACTTTGTAAATCTTCTCTGATACTTTTCCTAGCTTTGCAACAGGTCTGTAGCAAAGCCTGCAAGGGGGGTTGGGGGCAAGTTCCCAAACAAATCTGATAGACAGATCAAAAAGTGGGGGATGGTGGGGCAACTTTCCACGATAATCTGACCATAAAAAAGTGCTATTGTTTGCACTTAAAGCAAGAAATCAAAAAATGGGGAACGAATTTGTAATGAAACATTTACTGTAGTACAATACTGTACAGCTCAACGCACTTTTTAAACTCACATGGTTTTTCGCACATATAAACAAATTCCCTTTTGAAACATCGAGTTTTAAAAACTTAGATAATTATTTTAGAGAACACGCACCTTTCACATGAAATATTTGATAATATAAGGGTAATGTCTCGTACTGAAGCTTGATTATTATAAGTTTTCTTAAAAGAAAAATGTTACCTTAGCTTAAAAAGTGCGTTGAACTGTATTTAAAAAAAGAATGGGAAGGGAGTTCATCTTCTCCCCTAAATAAACCCATTCCTCATAGGAAATGTATAAGATTTATTATATAATATGCCTTCCTCTATGGGGAAGGTATACTATATTTAGTTCTTTTCTCCAACTAAATTCTTGTCTTAATGTTTTTTGGTTTGTTGTTAACATCCCTCTCGAGAATTTTCACTCATTGAGATGTCACCATTTGAGGTAAGACGAACACTAACAAAGTTTAAAAACTCAAACACAATATGTCTCGTATTTGAGATATTTTCAAATAAAAATACCATGAAGTTCCAATGTAAGTCATTGTAACTAATTAAGTTTTGATTTATATGAGGCCTGAAGATGCATTAAAGGGAAGGTGGTAAGGTTGTATAATCTTTGGTTTTACTGTGTCTAAATTATGCATCTAAAGCATTTTGATAATGAGTAATAGTTTGAATAAATACTGTACATAGTGTTATTTTCACCATGCTATTTTGGCCTTTTCACACTTGCAAACAATTTTATCCGCTTTGTTTACAGTTTTGTATAAACAGTTTTGTTTAAGAAATTATACTGTATTCTTTGAATTCGCACCATTTTAAATTCGCCTAACCGAGGTAAGGGCGAAGGGGGCGAAAACAAGAGGCCCATGGGCCACATCGCTCACCTGAGCACCAAGGGTAGACTAGTATAAAATGGATTTTTATTGTAAAGTTTAAATCCAAAAGTAGTCCCATGACCAATCATGGATTTGCTATTTTTTAGAAAATGATTGAGAAGAAGACTTTTAAAGAATTTTCCTATATATTTCTATGTAAAACTTTGGTCGGCCATTTTGGCCCCGCCCTACCCCCGGGGGTCATGATTTGAACAAACTTGAATCTACACTACCTGAGCATGCTTCCATATAAATATGATGAATGATGGCTTTGTCATTCTTGAGAAGAAGATTTTTAAAGAATTTTCCTATATATTTCTATGTAAAACTTTGGTCGGCCATTTTGGCCCCGCCCTTACCCGGGGGGTCATGATTTGAACAAACTTGAATCTACACTACCTGAACATGCTTCCATATAAATATGATGATTTATGGCTTTGTCATTCTTGAGAAGAAGATTTTTAAAGAATTTTCCTATATATTTCTATGTAAAACATTGGTCGGCCATTTTGGCCCCGCCCTACCCCCGGGGGTCATGAGTTGAACAAACTTGAATCTACACTACCTGAGCATGCTTCCATATATATATGATGAATTATGGCTTTGTCATTCTTGAGAAGAAGATTTTTAAAGAATTTTCCTATATATTTCTATGTAAAACTTTGGTCGGCCATTTTGGCCCCGCCCTTACCCGGGGGGTCATGATTTGAACAAACTTGAATCTACACTACATGAGCATGCTCCCATATAAATATGATGAATTATGGCTTTGTCATTCTTGAGAAGAAGATTTTTAAAGAATTTTCCTATATATTTCTATGTAAAACTTTGGTCGGCCATTTTGGCCCCGCCCTACCCCCGGGGGTCATGATTTGAGCAAAATTGAATCTACACTACCTGAGCATGCTTCCATATATATATGATGAATTATGGCTTTTTCATTCTTGAGAAGAAGATTTTTAAAGAATTTTCCTATATATTTCTATGTAAAATATTGGTCGGCCATTTTGGCCCCTCCCTACCCCCCAGGGTCATGATTTGAACAAACTTGAATCTACACTACCTGAACATGCTTCCATATAAATATGATGATTTATGGCTTTGTCATTCTTGAGAAGAAGATTTTTAAAGAATTTTCCTATATATTTCTATGTAAAACATTGGTCGGCCATTTTGGCCCCGCCCTACCCCCCGGGGTCATGATTTGAACAAACTTGAATCTACACTACCTGAGCATGCTTCCATATAAATATGATGAATTATGGCTTTGTCATTCTTGAGAAGAAGATTTTTAAAGAATTTTCCTATATATTTCTATGTAAAACTTTGGTCGGCCATTTTGGCCCCGCCCTACCCCCGGGGGGTCATGATTTGAACATACTTGAATCTACACTACCTGAACATGCTTCCATATAAATATGATGATTTATGGCTTTTTCATTCTTGAGAAGAAGATTTTTAAAGAATTTTCCTATTTACACAAAATGTATTTCTATGTAAAACATTGGTCGGCCATTTTGGCCCCGCCCTACCCCCGGGGGTCATGATTTGAACAAACTTGAATCTACACTACCTGAGCATGCTTCCATATAAATATGATGAATTATGGCTTTGTCATTCTTGAGAAGAAGATTTTTAAAGAATTTTCCTATATATTTCTATGTAAAACTTTGGTCGGCCATTTTGGCCCCGCCCTTACCCGGGGGGTCATGATTTGAACAAATTTGAATCTACGCTACATGAGCATGCTCCCATATAAATATAATGAATAATGGCTTTGTCATTCTTGAGAAGAAGATGTTTAAAGAATTTTCCTATATATTTCTATGTAAAACTTTGGTCGGCCATTTTGGCCCCGCCCTACCCCCGGGGGTCATGATTTGAACAAACTTGAATCTACACTACCTGAGGATGTTTCCCCATAAGTTTCATCTTTCCTGTCACAGTGGTTCTTGAGAAGAAGATTTTTAAAATATACCACTAAATTTTCATTAATTCCCAATTATCTCCCCTTGAATAAGGGCGTGGCCCTTCATTTGAACAAACTTGAATCCCCTTCATCCAAGGATACTTTGTGGCAAGTTTGGTTGAAATTGGCCCAGTGGTTCTTGAGAAGAAGTCGAAAATGTGAAAAGTTTACAGACAGACAGACGGACAGACGGACAGACAGACAGACAGACAGACGGACGGACGACGGACAAAATGTGATCAGAAAAGCTCACTTGAGCCTTCGGCTCAGGTGAGCTAATAAAACGTGTGCGAAAATTTTCATGTATATAATCCTTCACCGACAAAGAGGCAGACATATACATTTAGCTGCTAGATATTCGACCATATTGGTCTCATGTTGCCAAAAGCTCTTTTGATTTTGCACCATTTGGGGAAAATATCTTCGCTAACATTAACATGACATACCATTCCTTTCATTCTCTACATCATTTTTCTTCTCTTCTTCCTTATTCTTGAAAAGTTCTTGAACCTCACCTGGATGAGCTTCTTTGTCTGCTTTATTTCCTTTGCATTCATCTTTTAGAAAAAGTAAAGGAGATGCAAAGATGGTGTGTAACCTATTCTCTTAAGAGATTGTAAGTGGACAGGCTTTTGCCTACATGGATGTAGGCGAAAGCATGTCCACTTCTTTAAAGAGAATAGTAAGGATCAGATTAGAGCTCATGAGTTAACAGCAAGGTATGACAGACAAAAGGATAGATTATGATAGAAAGACAGACCCACAAAAAAGGTAATTAGAAAAGTTCATAGAAAATAACAAACTACCTTTTCTGCAGTATGACAATAGTTTACCGTATTTTATTAATAAAAACACGACAACAACCATCAGAATTGTTGGTATAAGTACACCAAATGCAATTCCTAGAGTACTGAAATATAATAGAATTTGTAAAATTAATACGTATTTATTTCAGAAAAAAAATTTAAAAAGATGTATTACTCTTTTATCAGGGTTACGGTGAAAGAGTAGATCTATACAATTTTAAAATAATTGTTTTACAGATACAAAATAATCATGATTTAAATGAATATCAATATCAATCATACTTTACAAGTTGACATCAATATACAGCAATATGCAGTGAAAAATGCAGTTAATGGTAATGAAGAGGAAATTTAGGTGGAGAATAAATTTTTACTTCATATTAATATATTATTATTATTATTTCTGAATACCCGAATCATATTTCTATGACCATGACCATGATTCTCGAGTTATTTTTGTCTTTTCAAATCTTTAATTCTTGAAATAATACTTTACAGGGGTTATACGTATTTTTCTTTCATAGGGATAAACATACCTCCCAAAATCAGTGATCTTTTCCTCATTCACCTCTGTATTTTTCTCATTATTATTTGTAACAGATTCTTGTGTCATTGATAGTGTTGTTGGAACAAACCTATAACAGAATTCAGATTGATTAATTCGAATAAATTGCGATTTTACAAACGTCTATCTAATGGATGCAATTGTTTACAAGAAGATAGAAAACATACCCGGTAACACTCGAAAGTACTTCCTGTTCACAGAAGACATCTGTAAGGAATAATGACAATGATACTTATTTATCTCACTATGTTTATGTACAAAATTCAAAACAAACAAAATCAATTTCAGACCATTTTTTTCATTGCAATAGAAGAAGAAAATCATCAATATTAAGACATTTCTCAAAATCACCCATCAAACATGTCAAATGTGGATACATGTATTTTAAAACTCCTAGGAACTTTTGGATAATTGAAATCACAAATTTTCACCAAAGTCAATAATGTCAGAAATAACAAGTTTTCAACTCTTTATAGAACCATTCCTAGCAATAAACTAAAGTCCGTGCCTCTTGACAATATTGCCTTATGTTTAAAAATAGAACTCCCTAGCTTCCCTTGTCAATGGTCACTTGCAAAATTATTTTGTCAAAAAAAGGCATTCTTATTGTATATGTACACGTTAGTACTCTGAAGTTGATATTAAACATATGCTTGATGTTTGTATGGGTAATTTCTACTTTGTTCTTGGAAACTAGATTTTCCAACAATTCGTTGAATTCCGATGGGTACCGATTGCTCCCTGCTATTAACAGACTTATTTTTATCCATATGAAGCAGAATGTATTCAAAGTTTTTCACTTGAGGAAAAAGAAATCACTTGCTGTAGCCTTCAACTTGACATTAAGATAAGCTGACGCCGTATTATCATTTGAAAGCTTAAATTAAAAATTCCACAGGTTCTAACTCGTCTGTTTTATACTTGGATATATCACTAGAAAAAGACATTATTTGTAATAGCCTCATAATCAAGCTTGATGAAAAACGTGTTGAGTGATGACTTTAACTTTTCAATCGTCACTTTATCTTACGTATACAAGAAACACTTATCACCTACATAGCTACAATATACCCTTATTACCTACATATATTCTTCAGTTGATTCGATAAGCAAGAGAATGCTCTACGTATGATCAATTTCTCAAATGATATTGAGTTTGATTAAACAAGAATATCAACAGTCCCGTTTAAAGTCACGATTTCGCAAGTTCTATGGTTGATACAATGACCTTATCAGCTTTTTAAATCCTTAAATGGTGTATCCGTTAGCAAAAAAAAAAAACATATATAACTGATTACTTTTATTATGTTCCCCAAACGAAGTTGGGGAACATATTGTTTTTACTCTGTTTCTTATTATTATGTTCCCCAAACGAAGTTGGGGAACATATTGTTTTTACTCTGTTTCTTATTATGTTCCCCAAACGAAGTTGGGGAACATATTGTTTTTACTCTGTTTCTTATTATTATTATTATGTTCCCCAAACGGAGTTTGGGAACATATTGTTTTTACTCGGTTTCTTATTATTATTATTATTATTCTTTTTTTTCTTCTTTGTTCTCCGGTACTTTTTTGTCCGCGAGTGTTCTCAGAAACTGTTCACCCAACTAAGCTAAAACCTTTTTAGGGTTAATAGGTGTGTAGTGTAGGTGTGCGGAACGAAGGTCATTTTGCACGCATACGCATGCACGTGCGTGCACGTGAAATGAGTGAAATGACCGATATACTTAATATCGCTATAACTTTTACATTTTTTAATTAAATGATTTGAAACTCATTATATAAAGATATATTAATAGTGTAGATAATATGACACTGTCAAATTAGCACGAACTCACGCGCATGCACGTGCACTTCGCTCTGATTGGCTGAAACAAAAATCTCAATATCTTTTCTGTTTTTTGACGAAATAATATGAAATTTAAAATATAGGCATACTTTAGGATGTTCTACAATGTTATGTATAAAAATTGTCATGAAAACACGCGCATGCACGTGCGCTGCAATCTGATTGGCTTAAACTTGAAATGGATATAACTCCCTTATTTTTCAACCAAACAGGATGGGATTTAGAACATAGACAGATATAATAGACTCCTACAAGAAGGTATGGTCATCATGTACGTACGTGCATGTGCGCTTTGTTCTGATTGGCTGAAACAAAAATCTAAATATCTTTTTTGTTTTTTGACGAAATGCTATGAAATCTAAAATATATACATACTTTAGGATGTACTACAATATGATATATAACAATTGTCGTGAAAACACGCGCATGCACGTGTGCTGCAATCTTATTGGCTAAAACTGTAATTGGCTTGTTTTTCAACCAAACAGGATGGGATTTAGAAAATAGACAGACATAATAGACTCCTACAAGAAGGTATAGTCCTCATGCACGTGCATGCACGTGCGTGCATGTGAAATGAGTAATATTAAAATACACTTAAATGAGTGTATTTCCTAATACTTCTGGATTAATTGATTTGTTATTAAGTATATTAAAATATATATATAGTGTAGACAAGATGATGTGGTCATTACGCACATGCATTCAGATGAGCACGCGTGCAATGCTAAAATTTAAATACATTTTGTATTCTTCTGGGAAAACGTTGTTTAAGTCTAAATTGCATAAAGTGTGTCTTACTTAATAGCGCTTACAGGGAAGACGGCACCCAAGTGGAGTTGGGGAGCGTTTGGGGAACATCTGTAACGGTCCCCGTTACAATTAGCCCTAGTTATTATGTTCCCCAAACGAAGTTGGGGAACATATTGTTTTTACTCTGTTTCTTATTATTAAGGTCTTCCGTCTTCACGGAAGACCTTATAGTGATTCTATTGTTTCTTATTTATTATTATTATTATTCTTTTTTTGACAAAATTTTGTGCAGGCGATTTCTCGAAAACTATTCAGCGGTTTTTCATGAAACTTTCACAAAATATGTGTCATTATATGAAGTTGTTACATCCGAAGAGAAATTTGGAAAAATCGCTCTTGGTGCCAAGTTATGGACAATTTCCTGATTTTAAAATGCGATTTTGTCGCCCCTTTTTGTCGAAAATGGCTAAGGATATGATATGGAGACTTATTGTAGATGATAGATCATGACTTTCTGGTTTGCAGAATCACCTTTTCGTGCGTCGTCAGTACTTCCGGTCGTTACGAGGTGCAAATTAAAAAAATCGTATTTTTATAACTTTTTTGTTTTTCAACATTTTTTATTTATTTTTGGAATGATAATAGAGACCCTTTGATCGATGCTAACTATATAAGTTGTTTGGATATTGGTTAATCAGAACTCTAGATATTAATATTTGAAAATCTGAAGCGGACCCAAGATGGCGGCTGTCTCTGTCAACTCCGCCATTTCGCGAGCAGGGGTTTATGGAGGCAGCTGAGCGTTTGACTAAATGATACATGAAAAGTAAAAAAACTACGTGGACTTTCACCTAGTAGTATGCTGCAATTCAGTGACAATCTTAAAACTTAATTTCCGTTTTACTGCTTTAGTGTAATTGGGCTAGATACGTGTGTGCAATGTGTTAAATTTACTTTCTTAAC